AGCCGCCTACAGTATATGTCGATATTATATAATATGTCTTTGTTGTAAATGTCTGTAACATGTCTGTAGATTTTATTTTACTTCTATTTTTTGTTTTGTTCTATGTTAATTTTATTATTTTTATTATTTTTTATTTGCTTTGGCAACACTGATTGTACCTATCGGTCATGCTAATAAAGCACCTTGAATTGAATTATACACATTCTTTTTCCCTAACGTTCTGTGAATGTTAACGTACCTGTGTCAGTTAGAAGTTAATCTATCACCAGGTATTGTAATATTTAACTACTTCCACTGTGCATTTATCTGCTTTTGTTTTGAACAAAGTTCACAGCAGATCTTTTTGTTTTTGTCCATTGTACTTTGCGAATGAATTTGGCTTCCTAGATCCAGATGTACCAGCTTTCCCGACTGCTCCATGACTACCACAGGGATCTGTACGATCACCTAGAAGAGAATGAGATCAGCCCAAGCCTTTATGCTGCTCCCTGGTTTCTCACTCTCTTTGCTTCTCAGTTTCCTCTGGGCTTTGTGGCCAGCATTTATGGTAAGTACCATGGGTGGATTGTTACTGATTTGGTTACTACTTTTCATATGGTGTCTGTCTTTCTTTGTCTTTTGATTTAAAAGCCACTTCCTTTTACAGTTGTTTTTTTAACTCCAATTGCTTTCCTTGTGAGGATAGTGTGGAATGAATCTTTTTTGTGTAATACAGCAGTGTGTTACTGAGTGTTCTGATCACTGTGGCTTGATTTAGTTTTAGATGTCTTACCAGTTATTATTTAATTGGTGTACAGAGTAGATAATCTTTTATTTACTTGTAGCTTACTGTGGTTGGCTGAGTCTAAGCATTTCTGGCCAGTAGTGCACAAAATGTACAAAGAAGAAATTGAAAAGTTTTATACTAAGTGATTGACTCAGTTAAAGTTAAACAATTAAAACCATCATATTTACAGAAATTGTATATACAGAAATGTTTTTCCACAAGATGGAAATGATGTCTTTCACTGTATCTGATTATTGATCAGATTGTAGAGCTTTGTTACTATTTATAGACTAAAATATACCGAGTAGGTATATGAATACTGTGGAATTAACAAATCTTAAAACACTTATTTAACATATTGTCTGGCAAAAATTAAATGCCTACACAAGTTATGATTTAAGACTTCTTAAGAGCATAGTAGCAGTGGAAAATGTAGCAGAACTGTGTTTAAAGATTAACTGTTAATTTGGTAAGTAATACAGCATTATATTACAAAGTGTTAAAAATGCTGTTATGCAAATAAAAAAATAGTGTTTAACTGTTGCACTGCATTAGTTTTGTTGAATGGTTTTGTGGTTATAATATGAAGGCAAGCATTCAAGTGTAATTAAACAAGTTTCATTGTTGTGGTTTTAAGGCACAGAAAACTGAGAGCCCTTACTGAGAGTATAAATACACCTATAGGGGAAGGAGGTTCTCACTCAGAGAAGTTCTCTGTGGTTATACACACTGTACGGAAAGACTCTTTCTCCTAGTGACAGTTGTGACTGTTTCTGCAATATCTTTTAAAGCACCTTTTCCTTTTGTTATTTGAATGAGTATTTAGAACATGTTGTCTGAAAATAATTGTGCAGTCCTTCCTTCAGAAGATCTGAGGCTTCAGTGTAAAACTTTAGTTGCATTTTGATGAGGAGTTCATAATGCACACCTTTGTAAGACATGCTAAAAGCATTCCAATGATAAATCAGAATATTTTGTAGGATTCAAGTAATCTCTTTAGTGATTATTTTGGAAAGAAACATGAGAAGAAACAGGAATTGCTGGGTCTGAAACCAGCAATCCAGCCATATACAGGTATACAGAGGAGCGAGATATCATTCTCCAGGTCTACGGTGCAAATACAGACAAAGACACTGACAAGAGAATGCTATAGACTATAAACAATGCTATCCTGAATTAATAATAATGGCTGTTGTTTTAATTGATAATTGCTAATTGTAATTTTAATCAATTGTAATTATTGAGCTATTTCCATTCCTCAGTACTAAATTTTGCTCCTTTTTGTTGCAGATCTAATATTTCTTCAGGGGACCGAAGTGATATTTAAAGTGGCTCTGTATTTGCTGAGTAGCCATGAATCGCGTATTATGGAATGTGACAGCTTTGAGACCATTGTGGACTTTCTGAAGAGTACCATCCCAAATCTGACCTTAGCTCAGATGGAAAAGACAATCTCCCAGGTGTGAAACAAAAATGTTTTATATTATTTTTGTAAATAGTGAAGTAAATACCATTTTACTAAAAATAATTTATTTTGAGAAAAATGTATGCATATATAGGTAAATTAAATGTGAACTGTGCTACTTTTGCATAGCAATCCTAATATTACTGTTAAAATTTCATTATAATTATGTTATTTTTAAACTATTAAAATAGCAATACCAGTACTTGTACTTTAAAGTGGCAGGAAATTGCATTCATTATAGTCATGTCTCAGTTTGGAAAACAGGGTATTTTTATTCTTTACAATAACCAAAAGTAATGTGCATCACAGAGAGACATCTAAAATAGCCCTGTAGATGTTCATCCTGCTTTATCATTGTTTATTTAATTTACAATAATAGGATTAATTCTGACCATGTGTATATGTTCACCGTTACAGACTGTATAGTATTAGATAGATCACTGAAGCATAATTAACATCTGAAAAGGGTTTGAAAGTGAGGCACCAGTAAGCTGCTGTAAGGTTTAAAGCCCAGAGGAGTGAAGAAGTCACAAAAATAATTAATTGAATTTATGTAGAGCTTTTTATCCCAAAGGATCACAGACCACTTTATATACAGGAATGGATCCACTTCGGTCAGCTTGGTGATGCACAGCAGCCAACAGTCCCACTATACATCATAGGCAGAGAGATGTGAAAAACTGCTTCAACGATTGCTTAGCTGCAGCTTCTTTCTATGAGTGTCCTAAAAGCTTAAAGTACAAAATGCAAAATATTACCAGGTATATATTTGAGTGAGGCCAGAGCAAAGGTAAAATCCAGAGAAACATGTGCAAGCCGATGTAACTATGAAAAACCAAGCTAAGTGCTCCTCTAATGAAACTACTGTGATTAAGCCTTATCATTGTTGTCTGGCTGCAGGTGTTAGAGATGGACATTTCCAAGCAGCTCCACGCATATGAGGTCGAATATCATGTGCTACAGGATGAAATGCTGGAAGCATCTTCACCTACTGAAGATGGGGACAGATTGGAGAAATTAGAGAAGGCCAACAGTCAGCTCAAGAAGCAGAACATGGACCTGCTTGAAAAACTACAGGTGAGGTCCTTCTTGGCCAACAATAATCCTCTCTCACTTTAGACCCCTTCTTCTCTTCTTAAAGATGAAGTGAGCAGACATGTCAGAATCTAGTGCTATGTTAGACATTTAAGAAGGTGTTTCAGAAATGTCCAATTTCCAGGACTGGTAAAAAGGTATTTTGGCCTAAAAAGCCTGGACTTTAACACTCTGTACTCTGTTCAGTTTCTCAGCATGAAGGCATTAATTAAATGTGGCTAATATAAAAGACCAAAATAAGAGTGTTTTTAAAATCAAAACTCACAGACCTGAAGAATTTTGTAAAATGGCAAATGAACATAAAGTTTACCTGTTCTCATTTTGTAACAAAGTACAGTGCAAGCATTATAAGAAAGTGATCGAATACCTGAAACCTATTTTCAGCTTTATATACTGATTGGTCACTGGACATTGCAAAAAGATGGGATTCTGTTTAGCAATTGAACTCTCTTCCAGCAGATGGCGCTTTTAGACAGTTATAAATGTAAGACTAAGAAAAGGAAAATAGCAAGGGTATCATACAAAGGAATCCAAAGACACACTTCATTATCATTCAGATACTTATTTCGTATTCCATTTCTCATAGTTGTATTTTTTAATGCACTGAATTAATCAGAATAGTGTTAATTCAGAAATATTTTTTTAATTCTAGATTTGAAAACACATAACTATCAGTTCTGGGCCTTTGCACAGTACATCCTTCAAAGTAGCATATTACTTTCTTCATAGTTTTTACAATCTGTTTGAATCCTTTGGCAATGACATTAATAAGCTGATTGAACAGACAACACTGTTATGTGGAATGGAACTTGTGAAGATCCTGTCAAAGTCCTCCTGATCCACAGTATTTGACAAGAAATGTATAAGTGTGTGGTTATCTTATCCTTAATGTGAGTTGTGCAGATATAGGTTTTTAGATGAAGATCTTGTGTATCATAAGACAGAAGGATTTTTTTTGTACTGCAGGCTGCCCGTCTTAAAATACAGAGCCTGGAACTTACCATGGAAAACTTTCTAACTCGGGAGAGTAAAATGAAGCACTTGATTCGTTCACTGGAGCAGGAGAAGGCAGCCTACCAAAAGACTATAGAGCGCATGCGGAGCAGCCTGCCACAAGACATGCTGTCTGATGTCGAACTGACAGAGATTAAGTGTGGCTCAAATAGCAAAGCAAAACCAGGAAACAAAAAGCCATGATGCTGAAATATGGTAAGGTGTCATGCAGTATGTTATTCCCTTTTGGATGAATATAACATATAAATAAGGGAAAAAAAGCCTTGCCTACAGAGACTTTAAAAGCTTTGGCCTATGACATTTTGAAAGCAAAGTGTTTTGAGCCAGTTAAAGCTTGCAGGCCTTTGTAATATCAGTGTAGAAATACAGAGCTTCACCTGGGTGTCCATTACTGTATCATACAAATAATCCTTGAATGTCAAGCAAATAAGAGCTTTTTCTTAATGAAACAGTGTAATGGTAAGTGTAATTAATATTTCGACATGAGAAAACCTTTTGTTTTTTCATGGAAAAAATCACTGTGTTGAAATATGGGGTTTAAGTACCTTACAATAATATAATTCAAAGTGAATTGCAATGTTTTGAAATTAAATTTTGCTTTTCATGTACAACCTTATTCCATATACTCTATTTTGGGACACACAAAAGACAATGTTGTATGTATTGAAAATACTTGAAAAATGTTGAATGTATTTCCCTTCCAAAGAACAGCATGTATGAAATCTGTTTTGTGCAAAAAGAATATATGTGTGGAATCAAATAAACCTGCCATAAGGCTTTGCTCTTAACACTGAATATTAAAAGCTGTACAGCCTTCCATCACAACATAGAATTTGGAACATAGGATAGCTACTTCTGTAGCGCTGTGTGATACCAAAAACATTGCTGGCTTCTTACAAGAAAAGCTAAACCCAAAGTTCAGTCAGAATTCAAAACTGTAGTCACGACAGTCATTGGCTTCCTGTGTTGCAGACTTTGGTGTTAGACAGAGGTAATTAACAGCTGCAGTCTAGTGATTCCTTTGCCAGTTCTCATCATGACACTTATACTGTAAGTTTAATGCAAACTTTGCTGGTGTGATCACAGATTGCATGCTATGCAGTTACACAACTGATGCTAGTAGATAGTGTCCGGAAAAAAGTAAAAAGTAAAAAGTGCTTTACAGTCAGATTTTATGGACATTGTATCTATAATTTTTCATGATTTAATTTCTTTTGTAAGTGTAGGTGTTCTAAGCTTCTTTAAGAAAGACACACTAGACAAATTCTGTCCCCCAAGGCTGTTACTGCTTTTTGATTTTTATTGTTAGTTTGCTCATTCTGTGATAGGGATGTCGCCTTTTTTTTCATTTCGGTATTGTCTAACCTGAGAAAGTCAGATCACACTTCGGTGTGGGAAACCATGAGCAGCATTGCAGCTGTTCACAAACCTAAACAGTGAGGTTAGAATATTACTCAAAGCGGAAAGTTCTGTGCCCCTGTGAAGCATTTTTTTGGTCTGCTTTTGCTCTGTTTTTAATCTTCATGATGTGTTGGTTCTTTTTCATAACCTTTGCAAGAAATTGTTTTGATCCTTTCTTAAACACACGCTAAACTCATCAGGTTCTAGTCAGGCTCAGGTCATCCACCAGGAAGATGAGACACTGCAGTCCACAGTTGTTACAGATGAAAAGTAAGAGGTTTTGTACTTGCTTATACCTGTAGTAGGTAATGAACCAGAAATGTGATGTTTATCAATATTTGTAAATATTGTCCAGATAATTGACAAATATTATTTAGAAACTGCAGCTTCTTTTTCAGATTTACTGGATTCTGAAATGGTTGGGAATTTACTGGTGTTTGCCTGGTCTAAGATATTATCTATATCTAGAAACCACCAAAATTAGAACTAATTAATGATTGGCCATTTTAAATCTATAGAGAGAGAGTTATCTTTTCCAAGTCACATTTTATTTTTGTGAACTAACTAGGACTTAAAGAGATGTTTATTATTTTGTCTGTGAGGATTGTTTTCTGTAACTTCATACAAAATCTTAGATGCTGCAAGATATTTTGTGAACTCCTCAGAAAAACACCTCCAAACCATTTCAGTTTGTTTGCAGATACAGACTATCTTCTATTGTTTTGTTTTCTTTATGTTTGGTTAGTTGAGCATTTTTCTGACAAAGTGCCAAAACTAGCATTGCTTTCCTCAACCATTATTTTTAATGAAACTTCAAGAAGTTATTAATGATCACTATGCAATGTAGTCCTTGAAAATTAAGAACGTGAATATAGAAAAGGGTAAAGGGTAAACTGATGTATTGGTATACTTAAGTGTTTGAGAAAAAATGTTGCTGCCCATCCTCTGTCATTTCCTATTCTATGTAGCACATGATGCAGCTTTCACTGTAGAAGACTGTCTGCTGTATAGTATTTGTCTGGTGCAGGATTTTATGATGTTGGGGTTACCAGGAATCATTTGGCAATGAAATAGCCATTGTAAATTACATTGTTACAAAACACCAATAAAACAGAATGAAAAATACAATTAATTTTTGTATCTTGTTATGTCTGAGAATTTTGGTTTCATTACAAAATGAAGTAATTGGTGGAACTGCATGTGGAACATGACTTAGTTTTTGGTTGGTGAAAGACGATAGTCTTTTAAGAACACCGGCCAGTCTAACTCCATGGATTAGAGGTATGGGCAAACTCAGGGTAGCTGAAAAATAATTGATTTTATTTAGTTTAGAATGAAGAGCATTATGGGTCAATCAATTTAAGGTACTGAAGAAATGGAACGTGAAGATCAATTCAAAACACATACTTTAAATTTTTAACATGAAAGTTAAACACAACATAGTTTCCGTAACCTGTTCAAAGTTGTTATGGGCTTGTATTGCATGGCTGCCAATTCATTGTTATGGAGTATGATTTAGTGAGATCTTTGTAGAAAATAGTTAACACAATTATAGAATTAATAAGGTTCTAGGTACCAAACAAAAGGTCCATCTCTCATGTATTACACCTCTTCATCCTCTTTCATGGTTTTTCCATCCATGGTTTCTCATGCTTGAAGTATGTGGTTGCGCCTGGCCTGAGAGGCATCTCCAGGGCTCAATTCAAAATTCACTTGCATGGATTTTCCCCATTGTCGACCATTGCATCTCTCCTGTTTCATCACACCAACCAGGGGGGTACTGCACTCAGTAACTAAAGGTACATGCTTTGTGTTCGTTTTTATAGTATAAAACCTGTGTGATACTGGATTTGTTTTCTCTTACCCACTGTTGCCCTTGGGCATATTTATGTTGATCTATCTATTAGGTACTGTATACACTATACACTTTTTCCATTATTGATGACAGATCAGGAGTGTATTCTGTAATTTCCCACACGGGATTAAGTATCTATTCCCTTCATATAAGGAGGACGGGGTGAACTATAAGTGTTTATATATTCCATACATGCCAGGTCTAGACATACAGTACATAGACTAGATGCAAATCAATCTTGGAAGAATCTAGGAGTCTCCTAAGAGGATAAGGTGTTACTGTGTGTTGTTATACCAGTTTCTCATGTCCCAGGGCTCCAAGTGCAGGCCAGTTAATTGGCCTTTTAATCAACTAAGTTATCAATGTTTGTTTTTAGAAAAATAAATTTAGTTTGTATTCCCCCTCCAACAGAAACTGAAGATGCTTTAAATTTAATCTTTCAGTTTGTTTTTAATTCAAATGATTTTAATTTTTTTTTATACTGTATGCTTACAATATAGCTTTTCTGTCTTGCAGTATTATTGTTTCATAGGAATCTTCTGTGCTGGTTTACAATGACAGTAATTTGTTTTGTCAAAAACGTTTCAAAAACAGGTGAGGACTAAAAGACTTTTCCTGTGAAAAAAGCTACACAGAAAATGCCTCTACACGCACAATTGTCGTAGTTCTTTAGTAGTGTTAACTGGTATAAAAGTTCTGTCTTTTAAATACAAATGTACAGCAATAAGCTCTGAAATGGAAAATGACAATGACAAGTGAGTAAGATGTGTGCAGACTGTACATGTTCATTTGACCTTTAAAGTTCTGATTGTCTTCAGGGCTCCACGTTAGGTGTGTCTGTGCTTCAGAAAAAAAGGCTGGTCACAGTCTAATTCTATTCAGCTGCTTTGTGCTCATCGTCAGAGGAAACAAAGGAAATGGGCTCATGAAGATAGTATCTAATGTTTTGCAGTTCAGTGTGTGGTGCGTCCGGATATTTTTTTTAGTTGGAAGACTCATTTAGTAGATATTTCAGTGAGAAAGGGGGTTGCATGGTACAGATCTTAAGTCTTCATGTTAAAAAATTATCTTGCATCCAAAACAAGGACACATTCCATCTCTGTTCCCACGTGATAACAGTGACATTGCTGGGGAAATGCCTTGATACAGGGAAAGTCCAATGTGAGCTTGGTATTCCTGGAAATGTGCACTTAATAGTCTCTTGATGGTTTTTGTTTTATTATTATCAACATTTAATGATCTCTTGGGCCTGTTCTGTTACATTTATTAAATGATTTTATTTATCACTGTTAGGGATCTTAAAATATAGAAGCAGTGCTTCATAAGTATAGAGAATGAAAAAGAAAAGCCTACGCTGTCTCAGGTTGGAACTGTGCTTTCAGTGGGGGATGGGGGTAGGTGCTCTTTTGCCTTATAAGGCTGTTCTTATTGCTTGTGTCTGAGAACATCGTTCTTTAAGCTCTGCAACTTAAGACTGGGAGGCATCGGGAGAAAAGGCTGAACCCTGAAAAGAAAATGTATATATGCATGTGTTTGTGTTATATATAAATATTCAGTTGATTTTTAAGTGGAGAGAAATATTAAAACAATTCCCCCAATACATGCATAAACAGCTTATACTCTTCCTGGTCTGGAACTAAACTTAGCAAAAAGTGAAAACGTTCAGGTGGGTAGCTGCATCAGCATACATAAATTGCAAAGGAACAAATAATAGGTTTATTCTAAGCTGAAAAGAGAAGAAAAAATACAATGTTTCAGCTGTGGAGCTGAAATGTTTAGTTTTCTTTCTTTTCAGCATGGAATAAACCTATTATTTGTTCCTTTGCAATTTATGTATGCTGACGCAGCTACCCACCTGAACGTTTTCACTTTTTGAAAGTGAAACCTATTACTTGTTCCATAATGTGAAAATACTGTGTTCTGAAAGCATAACACATTAATGTAAACTTGCATGTTTTGGATGATGTGGCCTCTGTCACACCTCGGCAAATAAGTCTGATACGATGAGGTATCAACTGTAAAAACCCAAAAGGTAAGCAGTATTTGCACAATTTTTTCAAAATGAGCTATTCTGCTAAACTGAAGTAAGACATTTTGATTCTGTCTCAGTGTTTTGGTTAGTTTCTGCGGGTCGGGATTGCTTGAGCGGCTCCCACTGTTTCAGCAGAAGCAGTGCTGGTAGTCTGATTGTGCTTCAGAGGAGCTTCTCTGGGAGCAGCTGGGATGGAGCACAATGAGACGCAGGTGCTGTGAATCCAGCCCACAGCCTGTGACCTGAGGGTCCCGCCAGGCTGCTCCCTTGTGTCCTCTCTCCACTCCACTGTTGAACGGGACACACAGAGTGTCAGGAAGATGAGTGTGCGCCGTATTGCATTCAGACACATCTACTAGATTTCAAAGCGCCCTTTATTAGCTCGCCCTGTATGGAAAACAAAATGTGTTTTTCATGACTTCCGGTGCTGCAGCAGAACATGTAGGAGCTAGAAGGACAAATCCAGCCGAGCTCTTTCTCAGTTGCTGTGTGATGGAAGACAGTGCCAGAAAATAATCTCAGATATTGAAATTGTATTGTGTTTGAGTAATACAGGAGCAGAGGATGGTGGTGGGCATAGCTGTAGTTGCCTTCCCACACTGCAGGGACAGAATTGTTGTATGATTCATCTATGCACATGTCATGTTGCCTTTATTATGGGTAATTTAAAATGGACAGTATTCACATAGGGATACCTGGCCAGGTGCTGTGCCTTGCTAACAGTGCAATCCACAGAGGAACTTGAATTGTGTAATAATCACACGGTCAGTGCTCATGTTCTTCTACATGTTTCAGAAACACTTCCCTTGAAGTGGTTGGCTAAGTTAACTTGAAATTGCACAAGTGTTATGATGCTATCTCTACAAATTCATCTTAACAACCAGAGCTAAACTGTGGTCATTCTGTTAATGGCTTGGCTTGAATTGGTGAGTATATTTTTTTTACAGAAGTATGATTTCAGGTGTAATTCTTTTTGTTAAATTCTACATGACTGTGGTTTAATAATCCTCATGCTGCAAACCAAATGCCGAACTCTTGTGCAAAAGCGATGTTTTATAGCTGAGCAAGACTCCCTAATTCTTCACATACCAGACTCATCTTCACATTGTCATTTTGTTGACAAGGAATCATTCATGATTTGGCCTCATTCTATAAGTCGCTTGCCATCTGATTTTAAAATTGTAAAAACAAAGACAGCTCTGGAGAACCCAAGAAAAACCAAACAATGCAGGGGGTCAGTCTTTTGCAAAATTAGATTGTGTGTTGTCATCTGTTTACAATAATCAGGCTTCAAGTGTATGTTTAATTTCCTTATTCTAAAAATATAGGATTCAAAATAATAAATTAGTACTGATGTTCTTGTTAACACCCTAGGCATGCAAAAAATTACATAGAATTTTACCCTCATCCACAATCATTAATTGGGAAAGCTCTTCTGTTGCAGAGGCTCAAAGTGCTTGACAGGCAGAGAGAGAGAGCAGTGTAGTCCAGGGACACATTAGTTGGCATCAATACTTTGCCACAGTGCTTATAACAGGACACAAATGACTCCCATTGGGAAAGAACAATTAGTATAGTAAATACTTTGGTACAGCTTTGTTAATAGTAACTGTTTTGAATATGCAAGTCCTTTCTTAAACAGGTGGTTTGTTAATCTGTAAGAGAGGGAATACTCTCACAATTAAGGGTCACATTCATCTAGGTAAAGGAAGCCCTTTGCCCAAATCAAAGAAAGATTTTTCATGATCATTCCCTTGCAAGGGATTCACAGTACAGGTCATTGTTATCCAATGTACCATTTATCTCTTTGCCAATTCATCTGTGTGGGGACAAGATCAGAACTACAATTTTGTATGTGCTTTCTTTAGAAATGTTTCCTTTCCTGTTTTTAAAAAAGGATTGTTCTGAATGCTGAAATGATCATTTGCATGATACCTTTCATGATAACATTTTTATAGTCTTCTAATATTTATTTACACTTGCCCCTTTTAATCAAGCTAAGATTGCCCATCTCAGCTAAAGAAGTTTGATATTTCTTACATTAATGGTGCCTAAAGAAATCACAGATGTTAATTCAGTAGTTTCTTCTACATATACCTGATGTAATTGTCTACAGTGTTAATCAGTTTAAATATTAAAATACCTGAAAACCAATTATAGGAGGCTTTAAGTGAAGCACTTTAGAACCAAGATATTAATTTAGGTATACAGAAGTGTGAAAAGCTTTAACTCAATAATTTA